CAGCCTGATCTAGTGGGAGATGTCCCTGCTCGCAGCAGAGGGGTTGGAACTACATGATCTTTAAAGGTTCCTTCCAACCCTGGCAATTCTATGATTCTATAATCATATCTACACTGAATAAAATACTACTAATTCACTAATGTTAAAAATAACCATAATATTGTGGAATGTCCACAGACAGTAGAGATAAATTATAAAAACAATGCAGAAGAACTATAACAGTTGCTCTGCCATTATCAGTAGAGGCAAGAGAAGACAATGTGTGAAGAGAAATACCTCAAAGTACAGGCGCAGTTTCTTGCACACTTTCCCTAGGCATCTGGTTTTGGTCACTGCTAGGGGCAGGAACATGGAACAAGGGACCCTCTTGATCTTACTTCCATGCACTATTGTGTTTTCAATGTGTGCTCTTAATTTTCTGGTATTTGAATTACCTGTTGCAAGCCCACAGGATGAAGTCACAAGTTTGAGCTAAAGCATGTGTTTCGCCAAGTCAAGGACTTACATTGCATTTATTAAAGAGCATGATCCAGCCCAAATACCCAATAAAACCTCTGCTGATTTCACACAGGAGCAGGATCAGTTCTCATGAGGCTATGCAGCCCCACCTTTACTCAGGTAGAAATGTGTTTATCAGTTTCTCAGACTCTCAAATCATTATAAACCAGCTAGAAACAAGTCCAAACCATGAGAAAGAGCAAAATAAGAGCACAGCTCCATTTTCTCATGTCTAGGAATAAGATATCTTTATTCCAGAGGTTTATTTTCCTTCACTCCCTGTGCAAATACTTAGTTCATCACACATACAAGTGATATTCATAAAACACATAAGAAAGGATTCTTATGGAAAAAAAGAAATGGACAATAGTTACTCATGGTGTAACTCTGTTGGTGTTGACAGAATTGCACCAGAGAAGGTATATGGGCACACTGAAAGAATTAACTGTAAAAAACTATTTTAAGAATTGAAGCTCCTGTTTTAGGAAAGTGTCCTTGATAAAGGTCAGTGGACAAAGAAATAGGAAAGAATAGAGGAAAAAAAATTTAAAAGAAAAAAAAAAATCACAATCAGAAAAGATCTAAAAAAAGCCCCAAAACCTCACCCACAAAAAAAGCCCAAAAACCATTGTTCTGGAACAACACACCTTTTCCAAATTTTTTTTTCTTTTGAGATAACCCCATTAACCGTAGAAACCGTAAAGGCTTGTGTATGTTTTTTTCTGACAATGGTACAGAGTAAAGCCCATCATTTTACAAGAAAATTCTTCTACCATATTCATACTGACGGTAGAAACAGACAATACAGAAGAAATTTAAGACAGTATGCTCTGGATTTGCAAGCCTCTGAGTCAAGAGGGACATGTGATTTAATGAACTACAGATAAATTATTAAAAGTGCCAGATAAACTTCAATCATGTAATATAAGCCAAGGCTGCGATGCTCACGTTAATTATACTCGCATGAGACCACGTTGCCTTTCACAAGGCTTCAGGCCATAAATCAGGTGAGAACTGGAACGAACAGCTGCGCGGACAGGGCTGGCAGGCTGAAAAGCCAGAGGGAATTTGACGTGGGATTCAGATTTCCAGTCATCGACACCTGCCGTGAAAACTATCTGCTTCTGCAGAGATTGAGAAGAACTTCATGTAATGCTGTTTTAATGAGTAGTTGATGTAATTTATTACATAGAGTAATTACTTAGTAACAGATCACGCATTGATCTTTTTAGCCCATCAAGCTTTTTTTGAGGTGAGGCATATTTTTCCCTAAAAGTTCATAGAATCATAGAACAATTCAGGTTGGAAAAGACCCTTGGGACCATCGAGTCCAACCATTGACCCTACACTACAAGGTCACCCCTAAACCATATCACCCAACACCCCATCTAAACAACACTTGAACACATCCAGGGATGGCGACTCAACCGCCTCCCTAGGCAGTCTATTCCAGTGTCTGACCACTCTTTCTGTGAAGAATTTCTTCCTAATGTCCAGCCTAAACTTGCCCTGTTGCAACTTGAAACCATTCCCCCTGGTTCTATCCCTAATTACCCGTGAGAAGAGACCAGCACCAACCTCTCTACAATGTCCTTTCAAGTAATTGCAGAGCATGATGAGATCCCCCCTCAGCTTCCTCTTCGTCAAACTGAACAGACCCAGCTCCCTCAACTTTTACCGCTGTTGTGTTCTTGGGATGCTGGCAATCAGAAGAGCAAGCTAATATTTGAATTGAGGTTGTCTATTCCAACAAATCGTGTCCTGACATTAGGATGATTTAAGGGAAATGCCACCCATATACACAATATATACAAATATATACGCAATATTGACAAACTCCAGCTCTGTCACATTGTTTTCAGCAGCAGCATGAGGACTCAAATCCTGCTTTTATTGAAATCAATGACAAATGTTCTAATGACTTAAACAGCAGGGGGGTTGGGCACTAAAAGGGAAATCTGTAGTGGCATCACCATGGAAACCAGCAGCACTAGGAATGAGAACCACAAGAAGAGAGTGAAGTATTAAAGGAAATGCAGGAAGGGGAAGTATTCTGATCTTACACTTACATTGTATGAAGTCACCTGCTCAACAAGTCTCTTATCTCTCCCAGATAACACGATTTCTTCATTATCCTTACTGGTCAACTTTTTTGCCTCTTCTCTTTCCTAATGAGTAGAAGCAAATCAGTGTATGAAGTAAAAAGCAAGGAAATCTATATTTACTTTAATTAAATCCAAAGGGTAGAAGCCATGTTAGAGGCCACCAGACATTTTTTGTTCAGCTTGATAAAAGAAGAAACTGGATAGATTCTAACTGGATATTCAATGAGTTGATCCAGAGTACCTCACTCTAGATCAGATGGGAGAGGGTACAAATGAATATCAATGTTACTCAAAAATTTTCTTGCCTTTGCCTTTAAGGATGAATTAATAAGTTTTGGTAAGAAAGGAAAAGTCTGGAACAAAAAAATAACTGAACAGCTCAGGATATCTTTGCTTAGTTTTCACAGAATGTCAACAAAATGCACGCTGCCTGCAGGCGTATATGGAGGAATAAATGCTCACCTTGGCTTTTCTCTCTCTGTCAGCTGGAGTATCTGTCCAAATAGATCTATCACCTGATTTGTCATCAGCTCTTCTCTTGAACGTTCTTGGGCCAAATCCAAAGCTTTTCAATTCAGGTGGAAGCTCTGTCATCCATGATTCCCTGGTAACTTGCTTGGGTTCATCCTTCACAAAACAAATGGGGGAAAAGTGAGGGAAAAAAAAGCATTATCAAAAATTGCTGTCTGTACCTCTTAGCTTCCTGCAGAAATAATGTATTTCTCTGTCTTAACAATTGGGTTCACACAGAAATAGGCAAAGAAAAAACACAAATGCACTCCAGCAGCAAAATATTAGAAATTAACAAATTCAACTTACGCTGTCTGCTGAAGTAAGTTTTTCCTTCATTCTCTGAGCTCTGCGTTCAAATTCTTTAGCCACATCAGACTCCACCGGTCCTTTTGCAGGCATCGGGCCTATAAGGTTGTCTTCTTCCTCACTACTATCTGTTACCTTCCAAAAAGAAAACATTTCTCCTCTCAGTTGTAGTGCTGAGATGATCAAGAAACAGTAGCTCCCTAGGATTAGAATGATTTTTTTCTAGAAGAGCATATAAACCTAACACAATGCATCTGCCAGTCAGACAACAAAAACCTGGATTAAAACTCCATCTTAGATCTGCTCTAGGCACTTCAACATGGATCCTGAGTCTCTACATTTCCAAAAAAACCACCAAAAAATCAGCAAAATCACTGGTAAACATGGTGGCAATATACAAACTCCTGGTACTTTACATTGCTCTGTATGCAGCCATTGTGGCTGTTGGTAAATTTGAAACACGCATCTTTGATACTTGAAGTTTTACTAGCAACATCTGGAGACATCTCTCTAATAAGGATTGCAATTTCCCACCACAAGAACTGGCTCAAGCTCAGGTTCTCTAGGGATGCTACAAAGATTAACACACAAGACAGGGCACAGGGGCACCTGCCAATCTAATCTTTCGGTTCTGTTGTTGGCTTCTTTTGGTGTCGCATTCTAAGCAATTATTTGGAGAATGGCTCAAAAACCACTAAGTTTGACAGGGTCTAGACGTTAAGAATCCTTTGCAGATGCCAAGGGCTGTACAGAAAGCTCACAGGTCCCTCCCGAAAGTTAAAACAGTACAGATGTGGATGGAGGCAGAACAAGGCAGGCCCTATGCCTGGAAGTGAAGCCAAGGTGCCCAATTATCTACAAAAGTGAAAAGATGTAGCTACAGTCTGAACGTGGGTCATAAAGCCACGGGAGCAGGATGATGACAAGGCTGTACAGTCAAGAAGCACTTACTTGAGAATGTAAGGTGGTGGCAAAGAAGTTTCTAATGGAGGATGAAGAAGATGTGTGGGATGGAATGGTTTGTTTTTGTTGTGCCAAACTTTGGTTACCAGGTGGACATCCCAGAACCAAGATCTGACACCACCAGAGAAGATAAGGGCTCAAGAGTGACGAACAGTGGGAAAGCAGTATCAGCAGCCTTCTATGTAAAATAAAGTGCCTGAGACAGAGGTGACCCAGGAGAAAGTACAGGAATGGAGCACCCAACCTCACTAGAAGAGTCACCTGGAGGGAACACAGGGAATGGAGGACAAGTGAAAGAAGGAGAGCAGAAAAGTTACCTTGCTACACTGAGCTCAAAATTAATACTTCAGTCTCTTCCTGGCTGGCATCCCACTGCTCTATCACAGAATCATTAGGGTTGGAAAAGACCTCTACGATCATCAAGTCCAACCGTCAACGCAACACTACCACTACTACTGAACCATGTCCCAAAGTGCCACATCTACGCGTTTTTTTAACACCTCCAGGGATGGTTGTGGGGCTCACGGCCTTGAAGTAAAGGCTGACAAGCAGCTGGCCAGTGATCTACGAGGACCGAAGGATGTGGAAAATCATCAAGGCCATGTTGATGTGGAAGGAGAAGTTCCGAAAATAACGCATAGCTCCTGATGTGCTGCCAAAAGGACCCTGAAGACTATATGGAACCTTGGGGACTGTTTGGGTGGCTTGTTATCGGGATAACAAGGATTAATGAAGGATGTTCTATGATTCTATGATGTGAAAGACAGCCAAAAGAGACGCTGGTTCCAGTAAATGCTTCTGTAAATAAGCAGATATATCAATAAGTTGTCAAAAGTACCGGATAATTACTGATAGCTTGCAGCTGCGAAATACTAAAGAAAAGTATAAAAGATAACATGTAACTCAAATAATTACTTCCCTGGGCAGCCTCTTCCAATACCTCACCACTCTTTCAGTAAAGAAATTTTTCCTCATATCAAATTAGATCTCCCCTGGCACAACTTGAGCCTATTTCCTTTCATCCTATCTCTTGTTCCATGGAAGAAGAGACCAACTCCCACCTTACTACAACCTCCTTTCATGTAGTTGTAGAGAGCAATGAGATCTTCTCTCAACCTCCTCTTCTCCAGACTAAATGAGCCCAGTTCCCTCGGCTGCTCCTTATAAGACTTGTTCTCCAGACCCTTCACCAGCTTCGTTGCCCTTCTCTGGACCCGCTCCAGCACCTCAATGGCATTCTTACAGCGCCGTATCCAAACTGAACACAGTGCTCAAGCTGTAGAGGGATCAGGGCTAAGGAAGACAGCAGGTGTGAAATAAGCCACTTGTCTCCTATGTGTGCCACTGACCACAGAAATCGGCGTGCTTTAATAACACTGCTGCGAGCCAGCCAAGCCAGCCAGCTCTGTTAGCAAAGGTACGGACAGCGGAGAAGGGGAGCTTCGGGTCACGTGGCTGCAGACCACAAGATCCAAGAGGCACAGCCAATTTAACTGCTGCAGGACTAGCTGCATGAAATGCACCTGAAACACTTGAGGAGGGTGAGAAACAGCCGGTCATTTATTAACACCATCAATGCAAGGTGGTAACACCAATTTCTCTCAACATTTTTCTCAAAAACATTTACAGAACTTTCACACAAGCTTTCAGTAATTATCTACCACTGTGATATTGCTTCAAGTTTTATTGAACAGGGTGACTGCATTCTCTATTTTTTTTGATGGAGTGAGTGGGGAAGACTAATAAATATCTTGAGAAACCAAGTTAGTAAAACACCTCCCTCTCACCGTGTACAAAAAAGTAAAAAATGCAGATATGAGTTTTATAATAAATTGTATTGTAAAGTAGCTGAGGATGAAAGACAAATTCCATGCTGAGTTCTAATTGAAGAAGCATGTCTCATTTCCTTTCTCATTAGTCTTAATTTCAATTCACTCCATTACCACCAGTCTCAAATGAGATGAAAGTAAACAAACATTAAAAAATACTGCCTTCAAGTTCGGAAGGGAAATCAATATACAGTGAAAAGTCAGCATGGAATAAAGTTGCCTCTAAAGATGTACTAGCATACAAAATAATTAAATAAATTACAACAAAAATAACAAAAAAATTACTCATCACATTTGAAGGTTAGAAAAAAGACAGTATTATTAGTAAGAGAAAAAAAATAAAAGAAGCTAGTTCTGTAATAGTTGTAACAAAGCTGAAGATCTGTTTAGAAAAAGAGACTTTTTTTGTTTGTAAAATACATAAGCAGACCAGTTTTGACATCCCTGCCTCAAGAGATTTGTCATTATGATAAACTGCTAAATCATTGTTTGGAGTTGTAAGACAGTGAGTATCTTAAAAAATGTCAGACAATCATTCTTCATAAAGGATTATGACAACACTCACTGTAGAAGGCTGGAGAAAGAAATACATCACAACTACTGATCAAAAAAAGTGAAGGTTCAGAGCAGCATTTGCCTCATTCCTTCCAAGCACATCCCATAGTCTCTAGGAATTAAATTTTAAAAATAGGTATTTTAGAATAACAATAACTGTTAATTCTCACAGGGAAATAATGATTACTTTACCATAGCATGAGAGAGATTCAATTGCCTAAACACTGGCATCAAGCACCATTTTTAATGTCCTACGCTCTCCTGCCTGCCTTACGAGGTGCTGCTTGAGAAGGAAACAAGGCTCTGCCAGCCCACTGTAGACCATTCAGGTCCCTCAGAACGGTACTAGAGTCCCGTGTTCAGGGAGTTGAATCTTCCCCATACTTCTAGCTGTATTTTATCACACATTCCCAGATGTTCTTTAGCAGTACATGCATTATTTTGCGGCCAGGGATTAGACTATAGGACTTCTACCCAGTTTTTACTTAACCCAATGAGAAGAGTCAAAAATCTCAAACCAAAAAATCGTGTCCGTGTCACTGTCCTGCTCCACCTTCCTCTTAGCTGCAGGTGTCATCCTGCTGTTGTTAAGTACGATTAGTGACACTGCAGAATCATTCTGGATCGCATTTATCTCTTGGATAAACTTAGTTAACACATCCACCAATATATTTTTAGGGAGGTGAAGTTATGTGAAATGTTCAATCCTTTTGCTCCCCCATCAGCAAAGGAAGTAAAGCTTAAACAACAGGTAAATACTTTCATTCTAGCACGCTGCATTACTTTTTAATGTCTTTAAAAATCAGAACTTTGCCAAGATGTTCACTTGTGAAGGATGCCACACCAAAAGAAGGAATAGAAAAACATCAGGAAGAATTACTGTGACTGCAGTTTAAGACGTCCAGATCTCTCGTGCTCAGAAAGTGCATTACCCATCTAACAGAAAAATCACAACAAACCAGACCAGTCTTTTTCTTTTTTAAGGCTTATTTATGCTTCAGTATTTGACCTGGGCAAAAATATGCCAGACGCTTTCTGGTCTAAAATTAAACTGTCCTGTTGAAACGTATGTCTAGTAGACTTTTTCAGGCTCGTACTTGTTTAAGCCTTTCAGATAGCTCATACTAAAACAAAAGGCTTCTGTTTTCACAAACCTGGGTATGGAATTCTGATGAAACAGACGGTGCTATGGAATATCTGCTGTTTCCAGCATCCTGTGAAGGTTTCCTAAAGCCAGGTGGTAATGCAGGACCTATAATGGGCCTTGAAGAAAAGAAATAAAGATAAAAACTAAAATCTTGGTTTTCCATCAAGGGGGGGGAAAAAAAAGGAAGTAACATAACCAACATGGACAGTACATTAAATGACAACCTTCCACTGTTTCCTGCAGGAAAAAAAATCTAATAGGTTACTATAAAAATAAAAATCAAACATTGATGAGAAGTGTGATTCTTCATACCCTCCATGCCAAATGTGCCCCTCTACACACACATTGAGTAAGAAGAGTTTCTCTCTTTTCCAGGAGGACCTGTGCAGACAGATGGGATGCAAGAAAATCAGGAAAGCTGCAGCATGCCATCAAGGAAATCCACTATTTTCCTCTCTTCACCAGATTCAAGAGCAATGAAAACTGAGAGGTCAAATGTACACTACTCTTCCTCTAGCAACAAAGCCCATTTTGTTCATTCTTGCCTTGCACCACAGTTTCACTGTCCTTCAGTAAAGACAATCAGTGAACTGCTCTGATGACGAAAAGTTTCATGATCCCAGGTAATTTCACTGACGTGTTTTTACATGGCAGCTCTGCAAGCGGTACTATTCAATTGTCTCCAGGAACACAGAAAGGTGAAAATCTCTTTTTAAAGGTGAAAATCTCTTTTTAAAGGTGAAAACAGTTCAAAGCATACTAGAAACTGTGCTTGCAGTACTGAAAAGTCTTTTGTATACAGAGTGCCTTTCCATAACTCACCATCATATTGTTTAAAGCTAATAAAAGCTAATTAAAACCCTCAACAGTTATCACCTGGAAAAATATCCAAGCGACAGTATCCTCACAATGTATCAGCGAAGACATCGTTTACTACAATCTTCAATTTCCGAGCTTTAGGGCAATCAAACATAACACAGCATGAATGGAATTATGGTAATTATGGTCTCCTGCTAAATCTTGCATAATCTAATCAGTATAGCCCTGCTGTAGCGACATAATTGTCAGGATCTGGAAGAGGGGAAATAAAAAGCAGAAGGTCCTGCCAGAAAGCAAATCACAGACAGAAGCAATAAATGTGAGCACTGGTGAGGTTTCAAGTCAAGACGTCTGGGTTAAAATTTAAGTTCCACGCCCACCTAGCTGCCGCAAAGAAGAAACAGCTTTTACTTTCCTGTTCCTTTCTGACTGCTTTCTTGTTAAAAGCATGTTTTAAATTCCCAATATAAAGAGACTGAATTTAAACCTATACAGACATGGCCAAAATAATCTTTTATTTTAGTATGCAAGTACTTTTATTTTGCATGAAGAGACAGCTAAAATAATCCTTAAAAAAAGCTTTCTACTAAAATACATAAGAATATCCAGGTTGTGGGCTGTATCTGTGCAAGTTGCAAAAAAGACCAGATCTCCTGCTTTTGTTACAGCTCAAAGGAATACAAAAATGGTTCCTATATTCATCCCTCCCACACTTTCCCTTTCTATGGGTTTTGGGTCTTTTTTCCCATATGAATAACCTTGTTGTTTGGGTCTTCCCTCAGCAGCACGTAGCTAACATGATTTGTGACAGTTTCCTGGATGTCCAGGCTCTCTGAATAGGTGAAGTGAATCTAAGTAAAACTCTGTCAAACACATTTTGCCGCTGTTGGCACCCTAGTACCAATCTATGCAAATATAAAAAATCACCTTGGACTTATGAATTAAGCTTTCATTTAAGGAATATTTGATTTCCTATATAATAAAGAAAGTTCTCCTGTTGTTGGAGTCTTTGCTAATACATGTTTCAAGATGTGTATTTCAGCATTCTTCTGATATACAACACAAAATTTTTTAAGGTAGCCTTTGCTCTTTACCTTGAAGTGTGAATACTTTGGGAATATTTATGAGCTTTGCACTTCCGCCTGACACTGACAAACAGCAATATTCTTTCCAGAGCTGAAGAAAATCTATTCATAAATTTTACGCCAGAACGATTCAAACCATTTTTAACAAGCTGCAAATTGCCACATGAGCTGCTCTTAATTGTGAATGTGTCACTTCAACAAGTCCAGAAAAGATGTAACAGAACAACAGCTAAAAAGAATGAGTATGGCCACACAGAGCTAATAAAAGGTACGTCCATACGTTGAACCGAACAGCCGGGACTTGTTTCAACTATTCATAGCTAGACCGTCAGCTCGCAACCTGCTCAGCGCTAAGGGCAACACAGCGGGGAGACGGTCGACAGACATTGTGTCTACTCACATGCCTCGGTGCGTCGGCGCCACGAGACTGGCAGGTGTACGGGGGCGGAAGACAGACAAGGCTCTTCCCACCCATCACACCTTTCCCACTTATTCAAGGAATGAGGCTGTGCTGCCATTCAAAGAGACCTAGAC